GGTTCACCGACGAGTATCAGCTCTTCGAGGAGCTCGGAAAGTAAGCGTCCCTGCCTGGCATCTCCTCCCGCGAACCCCTGTCTCCCTCGTGGGGAGAGGGAGCCCGGAGGCCGAGGCGGGGTGACGGACCCCTGGCTTGGTGCGGGTGGAGCACAGAGGGGAGGAAACCCCTGCCCCTCTGTGACGGGTGTCTCGAACCCCCAGTCCTCCTTTTCGGGGTCTTCCGCCTCTCCACGGGAGACTTGGTGAATTTACGATCTCTGCAGTTGTAGCTGTCATCCTGAGAAGTGTGCGCGCACGCGAGTGTGTGTGTGTGTGTGTGTGTGTGTGTGTGTGTGTGTGCCGAGAGGAAAGGAGATGCATGCAAAATGCAACATTTATCACATTTACGGTATATAGATGTCTCCTGCTCAGCCTGCGGTCGGTGTGTCTGCCGTCTGACCCAGGTTCCGATGAGCTGATGAGCACTGGCTCTTAGAGACGGTGCCATATTTATCGATGCCGAAAGTTCTACTTGGCTTGGTGGAGAGTCTGGTTCGGCATCCAAGTAGCTGTTCTGTCCAGGAAAAGGGCCACCCAACAGAACCCACTCCCTTGCCCCATATCCGCTATCCTTTGCTCACCATCATTCTCACAGGCTTTAAGTACGACTATATCTTTTCTGAGAAGATTTATTTATCCAGGCAGCGGAAAAGCCCTCTGGAGCTCAGGAAAGCACTTCCCAAGGGTAGCCTAGCCTTGTGGTTGTGTGTCAAATGACCTCCTCCACTTAAGTGCCAGAACTTCTTGTAGATGTTAAGGAGGGACAGGGTACCTACAGAAGATCTGTCCAGGGGCGACCAGAGAGACCCAGCCGGGAATGCCGATTTACCAAACATGCAACCCCAAACCAGTTCCTCTATTGCCGATTTTCACTATTAGGGAAAAGATGCATTTGTGTGTGTGCTGTAGGTTCGTACAGCTGCATAAAAGGAAGTGTAAGCATTTTAAATGGAATGAAAATGATATCTTTATAGATGATCTGCTGTTTGAAACATGGAGACTTGTCGGAAGAGCAGCTTAATTCAAATCTCTCCCCTCCCCCAGCCCAAACCAGGCAGAGAAATCACCTTACCCCAGGAGCTGGTAAAGCACACCAGTGAGCCCCAGATTTATGTTTTAATGGAAACAATCGCCATATTTACTTACTTGGAGCCACGTTAATTATTCTTCCTATCGAAATAAGCAGGCAGGAGATTATTTTATTTTCCCCCTGTTCCTCGGCTCTGCTCTTTGCAGGGTTTGCTATGAGCATTTGGTGTTTTGTGAGTGTGAATTATGAAATGTTTTCAAATTTCATGTGCAAACAAGAGTGGTCATAATTGGCATTTCCTTTTATTTTGTTGGTTAATAATGTGTGTTTCCAGTCAATTAAAATTTAGTTTTACTCCTCAACATTTAAAAGGGATCTGGGTTTGCCAGGAAGAATTGTTCATTTTCTAGAAAATGCTTATATTATATTGATATTTGACAGATCGCTAAAGACACGTACATATGCTCAGGTTTGTAAGTTTCTAAGTGGATACTAGGTCTGATTATACTGCTGACTTGCTAATTATTGGTTTCCAGGGGGGCATTCTCAGTGGTGAGAAGATGTATGAAAATCCCTACTGGACAAGAGTATGCTGCCAAAATTATCAACACCAAAAAGCTTTCTGCTAGGGGTGGGTATTTTAAACCACATTTATTTATATATGTTAATTTTGTATTTGTTGTGTAGATTGGTGTTGTCTTGTAAGTAAATGTAGCATGCAGTTATAACTGAATTTTAAACTTAGGAGTCATATTATGTACTGACATTTTTTCCTTGCCAAATGTCCCTTGGTCTGTATACTTTGATAGGAAATGAAAAATATATAATTGTTATGGGTAACATAAAATGCTGTCGTATGAGCAGTAACATAAATAAATACTTTGCAAAGCATATGAATGTCATGAAGTGCATTTTGCTGTTAGCTCTAGTGTGAAATAACTTTCAGAAGGATCCTAGAATGGAAAAAAATGTAAGTCTCATAACTGTCATAATTCCCTTTCACTTTTGAGATGAAAAACAGGTCATGGTTCAGTTGAATGTATATTGTAGTTGTAGTTACAGCTGAACTTAATACATCAAGGTATATTTAACCTCAATGGCTTTGGGAAGAAAAAAAAAAGATCACTGATGTAATCTAGGAAGCTAGCTTAATTTTGATGTACGTAGGTTAGGCCTTTAACTTGGTCTTGGAATTAAATTTCCCACCAGAGCATACATTATATTTACACCTGCAGTTTATAGCCATGGAGATAATTGATAATTAAAGCTGTTGACATAGTTTTTTAAAAAGCAACTTGGAGCCATGTGCTCACATTTTTTATATCATATTTTGTTTAAAATTATGCAAAAGCACATTTACTGAAACACTGGGCTTTGCAGTAGCTGCAGGCATGTGTCTAAGGTATTTTCATGGGAATTTATGGTTTGATGAAATTAAACTGAAATCAAAATGAACAAAACACCGTACAGCATCTCATCTCAGTGACCTGGTTTATTTTAAGTAATGAGAGGAAATTCCATTAGAGTTAGTTTTTCCTCACTGAATATATCTTTTAAGACATGCCACTTAAGGATGTCTGGATATCATTGCTTTTGTCCTTTGCTGTGGTAAAGGGATTTGCAAATGCTACTTTTAAGATGTGCTGTAGGTTTCAGGATATTGACTCACTTGAATGGAGTTCGGTTGCAATTTTCTTCATCTGGTTTGCTATAGTTCTGAGAAAGAGCTATGTGCTAGCACCATGGAGTCCTGGTATGAAAACTAATGAAGAGCGAGCTATGCTAATTACATTTCCCCTGCCAGTCTCCACTCCACTGGAAGGTGTTGTAAGAATGACAAGGCAGTGTAGAGGTATGAATGCCAGGTTAAGGGAAAGAAGAAGGCTGAAAAACAGACTTTTTCCAGGCATTGCGTTATTTCTTCTGGTGTGATACACACTTTGGCAGTGGTGGGCTATCAATTTGGGGGGGGGCGGTGTTACCATGCCTATTCCAAGCTTTTTAGTGACTTTAAATTTCCCCTCAGAACAACAGAGACTGGTAGTCACTTTTACTAGCTTTATTAATTAGAGTCAATAATTTTTAGGCTCTTCGCTCATACTCCTTATATCGCCCTGGCAGAGAATCAGTCTCACTCACTCCCTTCTCCTCCCTGGGAGAAAAGTGCCCCTGATTGGCTCCTGCACTCTCTTCTCTGTAGAGCCCCCCATCTGCTCTCCATGAGCTTCTCTCTACACATCTCCTTCCTGACTCAGAAGGTGTTCTCTTCCTTTGCTACTTTTTAGTTATTCAGTTTTCATTATTTTCAGTTTTATATACGTGTGTGTGTGTGTGTGTGTGTGTGTGTGTGTGTGTGTGTGTGTGTTATGCATGTGAGTGTAGGTGCCCTGGAGGCCAGAGACATCTGGTCTCCATAGTTGTGAACCCTCAGTCATATGTAGCAGGAACAAATCTCTTGGTCCCTGCAGGAGCAGAAGATCCTTTATCTGCTGAGCCATCTCCAACCTCTTCCTCTGAGTTTTTGTTTTATTTATCCCCCCCCCAAGAACATCATCTGTCCTGGAATGATAGACTCTGGGCTTCAGTCCTGATTCCTGTAGCTGCTAGCCCTGTGATCTTAGGCAGTTTATTCATTTTAATCTGAATCTCAGTCTTTCCTTCTGCAAAATGGGGTGAGATGGAGCTCCTTTGTAGGCAAATCCACAAGCACTGGATATATTAGGATACACTCACAGAAACACAACAACCTGCCTCCATCAGTCAGCAGATTAATCACCTCCTCTATTGGGCCAGATATGTCAAGGTTGTGGATGGGGGGAATACCCACTGCATGCTTTCTCACACGGTTTTGATTGATCTGATTGGCTTAGTGTAGAGTGTAGAGTGGTGCTTGTCACCTAGTGTGCTCTCTGTGAATATCAACTGCCACTATTATATGGTAGGACTGTAGTAATGATGAAATTGCATTGCTTCTTTGAAAGGTCTTACTTGACATGAAGGCACTGGAGAATTGCCGATCTAGTGACAATTCTGATGTGGTCCAATTCAAATAGTGGCTCAATTGCTTGGTGTGTAAATTTGATCCAGTCATGCACTTTTATAACATCTCAGATTCTTCATCAGCAAAGTGGTAAAACGTACACAATGAGTCCTGTAGGTTGTTTCTGGAGTTCAGTGAATTTTGTGGGAACCATATCTTAATTTGAATTTGTGTGCCAGTTAGGAGGCCTGAGCAGTCTATGGGAACTCTAACAGTGGAACCAGTATTTATCCCTAGTGCACAAATGGACTTTGGGAGCCCATTCCCTATAAAGGGATACTATTGCAACCCAGATACAGCAGGGAGGGCCTAGGTCTTCCTCCAAATGGTGTAACAGACCTTGAAGATGCCCCATGGAAGGCCTCACTATCCTTGGGGAGTGGGTAGGGGTGGGTTGGTGGGGGGGCATGGGAGGATGGGAGGGAGAGGGAAGGGGGAATTGATATGTAAAATAAGATTATTTCTAAATTAAAATAAATAAAGAAAAGTGTCTTGCCAATTTTGCTTATTATGTGTATATGTAAAGATTATAACCATTTCTATAAAATGCTCAGGAACTTTCTTTTATATTAACACACAACTAAGGGTGCTTATAGAATAAGTTTATTTGCTTCAATTGTACCATTTCAATTGTACCCAACTGTTTTCAGTTGTTTCAATTGTACCCATTTTGAGTTACAAATTATTTGAAGGATGATACCATGCTTTCACCTTTGACACAGCATTCAAATATATAGCATTGAGGACATGGACAGGCTTCAGGACAGAGTGACTAGAACAAAGTGTGCTCATTACATTATTTGTAAATTAGTTAAATACTCTGTGTATTGCTGAGAACAAGCACATACTGAAATCTGTAAAGTATATTCAGAGACTTGTGTTTTAAAATACACATTTTGGAAGCTCAGCAGTTAAGAGCACTGGCTGCTCTTGGAGAGGACCCAGGATTTGATGCCCAGTGCTCACTTGGTGGCTAAGAGCTGTCTATGATTCCAGTTGCAGAAGAGCTGAGGCTCTCTTCTGATCTCCATGAGCTAGGCATGTATGTGGTGCACACACTTATATGTAGACACAACATCCATACACATAGAATATCAATAAATGTTAGAAAACACATAATTTAAATGTTCTTTTAATAACACTTCTTTTATAATAATCTAGTATAATTTTTGCAGGAAATTTTTATAGTGAGAAAAAAATCAAAGGCAAATATACAATAGCATGTTTAATTTTTTTTCCAAGAAAAAATTTTTCGGAGCTCCATCAAATACTTGTGAAATGGACAATTTTTTGTGCAACTTTTTGTTTATATTATTGCTATAACATGCCTTTATAAATCTAATCCTTAAGGTGCTGTATTTTAAAGACAAGGAAATTTCTACCACTCAGCTAATTTTTTTAAAATTTCCTTTTGTGCTGGGAATTTAACCTAGGACCTCACACACACTACCGTTGAACTATGTTCAACTAATGTTCTTTAGCTCTAACAGACTGAAAGACAAAGTGCCACTTTTCAATAAATCGAAGGCTATCAGGGAAACTGCCAAACATTTGGCTGGATTCCTGCACAAATTTGCACATCCTTCTCTGCTGTCACTCAGGCCTTTTGCTATGCCTAGACTGTAATGGGTTTTCAGCAGACAGTTTTAGTTGCATTTTCTCTCACTGTTAGTCGTACACACCATATTTGGGAGAGTCAGAGTCTGTTGAAGAATTTCTTTGTGTTTTCATCTGCATATGCACACAGAGCATTTGGTATTATTGTCATTGAGCATGTAGGTCAGTGGGCTCAGTATGTCTCATTTGACCATTAATTTTGTTTTTGTTTTTTGTTTTTTTGTTTTTTTTCTTTTTGAAGCTCCCAAGCATGGCCAACATTTGATATCTTGTATGTAGTTTACAAATTCTGAAAAGTTGTTTTAATTAGGCATGGTTAGTAAGTAGTGAGTAGTGACGGTAGAATTTGTCTTATATTTTCATCTTAGGAATTAGTCTGTCATTTTGAGCCAAGCAATTAGATTAGTGCCTATCAAATGCTAACTTGTTCCAGTGTAGATATTTTGTCCACTATCTGGGCATGTTTAGAGCTGTAAGCTGTTATCAGGTGATGTGAAGACAGTGGTTTAACTCTCAATAGGCTGGTGGCTGTGGCCACAAGAGCCTTCAGAAACAGTTCATTTTGTAGACAGTGCACTTTAAAATTTTTCCGTAGTAGTGATGACTTCTTGAGGTCCATTTTCTAATATGTGTTTGTATCCTTAGAAAGCCCTTACTACTTCTAGGCAAGCAGGCATGCCATAGTTATTGTTTTTATAAAAGAAAAATTAATTATAAGCTTGAAGTAACCTATGACAGAAGTGTTTTTTTTTTACATTTACTCCATTGCTAAAATTAACAAGTTATATTTCTGTAATATAGTAAATCATTTTAATTTTATTAACCTAAATCTATTAGTTCCTAATGTCATAATATTAGTAATACACAATTCAGGACCCTAGGAAACTACTTGAATTCATGTATGTGAATTCAGTGTTGTATCTATACCCCCAAGTAATATTTTTGTTAGTTTGTTTTAAGAAAGAAGACAGCAACTGAGGCTTGCTACTTTTGTTATTGGCATTCAAGCAGTTAAGAAGTTATCATAGTCTCTCAGCTTTACACCTACTTGCTTGAATCAGAAGTAAGATGGAGACAGATTGAATGAAGTTCCAATTCTACCTTATTGATTTGTCAGCTCAAGAAGAATTGGACAACAAAACCAAATATTGAAAATAACGTTTTAAAAAATTAATCCAAGTTGTTTTCTGTATGTGGGCCTGAAAGTAAAGCATGTGCTATTCATGTTACTTTGTG